GTTAAGGGTTAAGAACATTGACCTATAAATAGGTTTAGACAGATAGGCAGATGATATATGCAATGACAAGTAATCGTTAAAAATATTAATAGCTTAACATGTGTTCAGAGAATTCATAAGAATTTATGAAAATAAATAAATGATTGTACCTGATGATCGTTACAAAGGTAGCCATCGGTAATTCCTGTGGGACCAAGAATTTTGTTTTGTCTAAAACCGGAAGACTTTTCTCTTTTGAATATTTCTCGACGATTACCTAAGGATAGAGAATAAAGTTATATAAAAGCTATTCAATGTGTAAATAATATTCAAAATACTGTATAAATAGAAAAGAAAAAAATATTTATATATATTTTATCATAACTTTTGTTTATCCAAATTTGTATTTACTTAATCGACTCAATCGAAGTTTTGTTTTCAAAAATAGACTAATTCAAGCGATGATTATAACAAAAATATGATATAATTTTGTAAACTTTAAATATTACTCAAATTTCTAGACTTAATGTTATTATATAGTACATTTAGACTATTATAAATTATATCGGTATTAGAATTATAAAAACAACATAAGTTTAATACATTTATCTAATCTAACAACAAAATATGAAATATAAAATATATTAATGAAACGTCATTAAAACTTTTGTGGACTCTTCCGGAGCATATTTCTAGTTATTTCTAGTAATTAAGTTTATATTTGAATACTCACTGGTATTTTAGTGGGAAATTTAGCTCTTATTCCGGAGACCTCTTCCCTTCGAGTCGCTATAATTGAGAAACAAATTAATTCGTGAAATCATGTTAATGTATGGTAACAAATATATCACCGTAATTATATACATGTCATATACAATTATATACATATATTATACTAGTCTCTTTAGATTTAAGAATAAATGATTTTTACAATAATTTTGAAAATTGGTAAACATTTTATTGACAGAAATGTTATAATTACAATATATCAAATTCCTATACTTTATTAATTGAAATTATTTTACATATAAATTATATCATTTTAATTAATGGTTTAGTTACTACAGTATATATCCCGAATATGCTTTTTAAAAATAATATTAAGTCTTACCATATCTTGAAATATAAGTCTTATTATAAATAAAAATTGTTTACAGAATATCTTAAAGTCTTACTGATTTCTCACCAAAACTTTAATTAAATAAATTTATAAAACTACAATCAAAATGTTAAACAAATAAATTACATAACGAATCGTTATTAACGATTAAAAACTTACTCAAAGGCTTTCGCTGTTTGAATGGTCTGTTTGGATGATCTGTTTTGTCAGTATTTGGTGCCATCGATGAAATGTTGATTCAGTATAAATTGCAAACTAAATCAGTTTTAACCACTCAAACGCCACTATTACTGTATTAGTAAAACTCGATGTCTGTTATATTTTCAAAACTAAGACTAAAAACTATTATTAAGTCTCACAAAAACTAAGATAAGTTTACTGAAAGTTTAAAATAGAGAAAATATTAGCACTGTTTTGCAATTGTCTGACGATTTATAAGACCTGTACTTAACTAATGAATTATTAATAAAATAAATGAAATGATTGGTCGCAAGAATTGATAAAACAGAATAATAGGCAAATGTTGTGTACATAGAGTAGACTGTATGTGAGTGTACAGTACTATACTAAAGAGACAAGAGATTGGATGAGAGACGAGGTGTTTGAGATCAAAGATTAAAGTGTTTTACCGCACGACACGCTTGTAATCAAAAATTACATTTACAGGCGATTAGAAATGTTATTTCGATTCAAAAATAGAGAAAAATATGATAAGAAATTATTTTTGAGTCAATAATAACTAAATACCGGTAGTAATCATACATACAAACACGTATACATCTACTGTCAACTTTAGAGACTACAGAATCTGTAGTTCACAATAGCCTGGAGTACACTAAAGGGCAGTATTTACGTGACTATCGATTCTTACTGTTTGACAAATGGAAATATTTAGGCATTAAGTGAGCAAATAATTAAGTAAACAATTTCATGTCTAATAGTAAGACAATTTAAGACAATATATAAACAATTTATTGTTAATTTCGCTCTAAAGATAACATGATTTGAAAACTCATTTCTCAGACATTAATTGCTTTCGTTTTTCTTTCCCCAAAAGAATCGCTTGTTTGAAGAGATGACAAAACAAGTGAATGGTTTGATAGGTGTCATCGTTGGCCGGAATCGGATACGTGATGAGTGTGGGGTCACTGTTGGTGTCGACCACACCAATGGTTGGGATCAAGAGTTTGGCCGAATCGGTGACCGCCGGATGTGTTTCAAACACATTGTTCATAGTATTCAAGAATATGCAGAGATCTGGCAGTCGAGTGACGGCTCCGTAATAGTTAGTCGAGTCATAGAAGGCATCGCTTTTCCACTCTCGACAGTGACTGTATTGACCACATTCTCGGGCCATAGTCTCCACCAGATGTGTTGTCTTCGGGGTATAAGTCATATAAAAGTCAATTCAATAGAGAAGCAAATAAAATGAGAAAATCAATACATTATGAGATCTATTGATGAATAAAATGATGGCTCCTCTGAAAGACATATGAGCCGTGAAATTGAGTGCTTCTCTGAGTCGTTGTGCCGTTTGATCCAAATCTAGTATAAGAACTCCTAAACGGCTGCCAAAGATATATGGAGTCATATGCGGGTTAAGAGTTCCCGGTTTGTGACCGAAATGAGCTCTCGATTCAAACAGTTGTCGGACTGTAAACAGTTTGTTGACACCGAAGAAGTCCGGATGTCTTAGCGACTCCTCCAATATCTTGTCGCTCGTCGTGTCCGCCACTCTCTCGTCCGCGGCTTCAAGTGATGGCAGTTCTTGTCGTGCGATACAACTCGTCTGCATTTGTCTCATCCATGTCTTGAGCACTATATCACAAATTCATGGATATGTTAATCAATTCATAGCCACTTGTCATTCATCTTACCATTAGTTTTGAAGATTCTGTTCATATTTAGCATCACTTGTAATCACTTTTAGTTAAATATATTATAGATTACAATAATTTGTGTTTCAAATCATTGAATACCAAAACAAACACTGCTTTCACATGGGATTCACTCATCAATAATGTCTTACAATACAAAAGTAGTGAAAGTTTTATTGCAATCAAAGAATAATTGACTCAAATTAAGCCACAATAAGATTATTTTTTTATTTATTGAGTCAATAATATCATCAAGTCATTTTAAATTATATAGTATTTATAATAACTAACCCCATTGTAGTATTATATAATAGTGCAAAATACAGTAATGACATGTACTTGCTACATTAATGAACACAATGTCATACTTACAGAACGAATATTCTGTACAAATATTGTTTGTATTCTATAAAGTGGACAACACTGTGAGCCCGAGCTGTCACTTGATTCACATTGAGTTACAATTAGTAAATGATTAAATGATTGGTGCAGTCATCGACTTTTCATAATAGTTGTTGATTATGACTATATGTCTATTGGTTTTGATGGCAATATAAAGCCATTGATATTGACATCAATTGCATCGCTCAGTGAGTGTAAGGGTGTGTGACTCGAGCCATACATCACCAGTCGTGAGCTACAAGTGTTCACTAGCGAATATGTTGTAAACGGAAAACAAAGGGCACTTTAGTGGACTCTCATCACATTGAGTGAATGCAGTTTTAATTATGATATTATGATTGATTCTTATAAAACTTTGGATGAGGAGTCCGAATATAGGATTTATATTGACCGGTGACCTCGGGTTCGGCCGCAGTGACCACTTTTATCGCGAATTGTTTCCGTTATAAATATACACATGTGATATAGCAATTCAATAGAGATTTTAATGGAGAATACGATGGTATATGTAAAAATTATAAAACCCAAGATTTAAAAAAAATATTGTGACTTTTCACATTTTTCGTCACTAATTCGGCATTATTTACATGATTAGTCAAGTTTATAAAAGTTTTATACATACCATCGTATTCTCCATTAAAATCTCTATTGAATTGCTATATCACATGTGTATATTTATAACGGAAACAATTCGCGATAAAAGTGGTCACTGCGGCCGAACCCGAGGTCACCGGACAATATAAATCCTATATTCGGACTCCTCATCCAAAGTTTTATAAGAATCAATCATAATATCATAATTAAAACTGCATTCACTCAATGTGATGAGAGTCCACTAAAGTGCCCTTTGTTTTCCGTTTACAACATATTCGCTAGTGAACACTTGTAGCTCACGCTTGTACATCACTACATGTAATGTCAACACAAACGCTATGAATCAATGAATTGAGTGTTTAGTGAACTCTCACTACAATTGCAATCAAACCAAAGATTAGTCCAAATGTTGTGATCAATGAATGGATCAGTTGTCGAGACATACAGTGAATGCAATGAATTGGTGGCAAACGAGTCAACCAAATGTCACCCAATTGTAACCAATGGCTGTATTGTGGAGGAGAGCTGTTCTTCTACTAGTCCTTGTGATCGCTGTTCTTCAGGTGAGACACGATTTGATGGAAGTGTTGATCACTGAACCATTAACCACGTGTTGCATGTCTTGTCAGGTGATTCACATGACTCTCTTGAGTCGATTGGAGTCCAAACGAAATGCTCGACAAAAGAGAGGGAAAGCAATGAACGAAGAGTTGCTCGGATTGAATGAATACAAGAGTTGGGACATCGAGTCCGACAGAAGACATATGTATGATATGGTGAAACAGACCAGTGTTTTGGACTCTTCGGGCGAATACCATATCATAAACTTCTTGATTCGCAGTCAGTCTCTTGGATCTCGTAATCACATCCGACACGACATAAGTCTAGTCTCGCAGTCGAGTGTCTCTCAGATGCATAACTTAGACCTTTTGTCTCATCGGTGGCACGGATTGGCCTCAATAGCTGTGTTCGCCTTATCCCAAGACATCCCATTAGCCATTGAAATGATATTACTGTTGCGTCGCTGCTATCCATCGATCCGTCGCAACACATCCTTTCATTTGGTGTATCCCTTAGTGGTGCCGAAGCCGGCCATCGGCGCCACCACTCTCTCGCCTCGACTTTCCATTGATATCATATCCAAAGAAGAGAATTGCCATCGAATGCAGAGTTTGTTGAACTCGATTGCCGTCAATGCTGTCAATTACGGCCACTCAGGCGTCGCTTATCCTAACAATTTGTTACGAAATGTCGGCCGAAGAAACGCTTTAACCGATTATGTCTTCGTTGTGGACATCGATTTAGTGCCAAACGATGGTCTCTACGAACAGTTCTTGGATTTCGCGCAACAAAACAAACTCTTCTCAGACGAGCATAAGAAGGATAAAGTGGTTTATGTTGTGCCCGCCTATGAGGTGAACACTCTCTCCACAGTTGAGTCCAATTCAAAACTCGAGACACGAAATCAATTGATCCCAAAAGACAAACCGGATTTGTTGCAAATGATTCAGACGATGAACGCCCGACCCTTTTATATAGAGATGTGTTGGAAGTGCCAAAAGTACACCGATTATGAGAACTGGCAAAAGAACTCGTCGCCAAAGTTAGACATACTGTTTGAGGTGTTGTGGAGAGACCCGTGGGAGCCCTTCTACTTCAGCCCCAACTCTGTGCCCCTCTATGACGAGCGCTTCCGACAGTACGGCTTCAACAGAATCAGTCAAGTATTGCATTCTTTGCCTTTGCTTTTAATACTTTAATCATTGATTGTTATGATTTACTGCAAAGATATGCGAACTCCATATGTCTGGCTATAAGTTCTCGGTCCTCAACAATGCCTTTGTTATCCATAAGGGCTTCAAAACTGCCGACACTTTCCATAAGGAGAAAGATTTGGAACTCGAGAGGAATCGGGGGCTCTTCAGACAATTCAAGACTCAACTCAAAGACAAATATCCAGAATCTTCTCGTCGTTGTTATTAATTTTCGTTTAAGTATTTTATTTGTATTACACTTTTTGTTGCATTTATTTCTTAATTTATTTAATAAATATTTATATGAAAATTATATAAAAGTTCATCAAAAGTATAATGAGTTTCGAGAATGAATAGCGTATAATATGGAGGAAATACACATTAACAAACTTATCAAAATTACCGGTAATACAGACATTGATGCAAGGTGTAATCATTATTGTCAATGTTCAATTTAATCCTGCAAATTATTCTAGAATATCAAATGTAAACCCAACATAACCCAGTACAATTCTTGAGAGAGAGTGAGAGAGAGAGAGAGAGAGCGAGAGAGAGAGTCATCTGTTGAGGGGAGAGTCGTATGGATTTAAAAACAATGTTTTCATTTCAGCAAAACTGAAAGCATTTATGAATTGAATGAATGATTGAATGAATGATTGATTTGCTGTGAAGTGAAAGTAAATCACAATTGAAATGCGATTAACGGTTGCATTGAATCACATCGAGAGGTTCTGGTGGGGGAAGGGATGGGGACCTAAGCCGGGGAGGGATAAGAGACACTTCCTCTTCAGGATGCAGTGGAAGGCTAAGAGCAAGAGAAGGATCTTCGAGCACTTGCAGACACTTCCAGCGGACGCTACCGTCGAAGACCCGAATGAGTTCGTCAAGAGATCACTGCAGACAGAGTTCTCCCAAAACAAGGATCCGTCTGAACGGCAGGACATAGTGTTTCCGTGGCCTCACTCTCACCGGCCAACCAAAGGCCTGTCCGATGACCCCAGATATCAGTCCACACCCGCTCTCGTCTTCGACCGACACCGAAGACTATTGGATCCGTTGAATCAGTCGATGTTCTTCACGAATACAGTGCTCGAAGGCCACGAAGAAATGCCTGAAACTATCAATCGGTTGATGTCTGGCATCGCAATCGATGACCAGTTTATGGATTTAGCCGAACGCAGACTGGAATGGTGTAAGTCTTCGGATTCCATTCTTCGTAAGCTTCCCATAAACCGTGAGTTTCCATATCTGGATCAAAGGCCTCCGAGACAGTACGGCATCCCTACCCCTCGCATGGAAAACCATTATTTGAGGACTTTATACGATTTGACACAAATCTTGTGCACAAAACACTTTGGATTCATTGACGTCCAGAAGATATCATATCCCTATTGTGTCGTCCCTTTTGAGCGCAACAAAAGACTAGTCGTCTTTGATTTGGAGACGGATTTTATATCAATGACTAAATTGAGTGATAGTTTGCCACTCTTTAGCACCACTCCATTGGTTACAATCGATAAGCCGTTGTCATCAATAGAACCGCTTTCGTGGACCACTTGCTTCCTCGAGAGGAACATATATCCAACGGATTACTCGTTCAAAATGCCGACCAATCATACCATTCATACCATTTACTTCACCCACAACCAGTTGAGACACTTCGATGACTACTCACTCGTTGGACGAGCCATTAATTACTGCTATGGTTTCACCACAGCTGTGGCCAGACATGCGACCGGTGGTGGTGTCGACAGCAAAGAACTCGTGGATCCCATTCCCATTCAATGCGTTTTCATTAATCCAACAGATTTGTCGATTGGATTCGTGTGCTTCCAACTGAACACCACTTCATTTGACTCATCCATTAAGAATCAGTTATGGATTAAGACTGGAATCAAAGATATTAATGATGTCCTCAAACATTTGGTCGCTTTTCAAATGAATGGTTTTGTCGATTCATTCACTAAAAACTTGAAGACTCATATTAAAAGCAATGAATAATTTATTATTGTTATCACATCTAATTGATTGATTTGTTTAAAAGTTAAATACAATAAAATAAGTAGCATTTAAGTGATTAATAATCATTGATTATTGTTTTAATCATAGAATTGGTGCAGCATTCATACATAATTGCTCTTAGAGTACAATTAAATATCTTGGTAGATTTATATAAGTTTATTTAAACCGGTAGAAAATTCTTGTAGTTGTGATGCATTAGACTTTAAGATCGACTGATCAATGGCTAGAACTCTCTTAACTGAAGACTAGTCCGCAATCTTGACATTCATTTCATTCAATTTACTCATAACTTTTGGAAGTATATATATATTGGGACTCAACCACAATCGGAACTCAGTCCTCGACACTCGAGTCTTAATCAAATTGACACAAAACTCAACCAATGCTTTGCAGCATTCAAAGTGTTTGACTGTCAAGACATCCAGTTTATCAATGAATAGGCTCAGGGTTTGGGATGAGATAGGGATTGCGAGCACATAATAGTGTCTCATTCCACTCAAAATGCTGGACTCCATGACATATCTTTTCCATCTCTTAGTTAACTTCAAGTCTATCGATAAACTTTTAAGTCGTGGCAATGACTCCGACATCATCTGATACAATAATCAACACATTGATGGCATGTATTGACTCCAACGTCCCAATCAATACACTGGGATCATAACATTCTCTCTCTCTCTCTCTCTCTCTCTCTCGCTCGCTCACTCACTCACTCACTCACTCACTCACTCACTCACTCACTCACTCACTGTAGGACAGAATGAATAATGGCATAATTGGTATAATTCTTTTAAATGAATGCTAATTTCAACGAATAGACCAATAAAGAGATGAATAAATAAATAACAACTACAGTACCGCTGTATTCAGTGAATAATTCATTTATTTTAAATAATTAATAATACTTTTAAAATGAAAAAATTTATAAAACTTTAAATATAATCGATTCTAACAATAATAATAATATTAATAATAATAACAATATTAATTTATTTATTCTTTAGAAATGATTTGTAATAATAGCGAAGAATATAATTATTTAATTTGAGGCACAATTGGATTAAAATGAGAGCAAAAGAGGTGGTGAAGAGGAATGTCCTTTCGGTGCAAATTCAATGACATTTTACTTATAAAATAAATTACAATTCATTTAAAACTATCCAAATGGGCACCAATCGTATGGTCTACTCATTCAACAAATACATAGTCCTTATTATAGTAACAATTTATTTATTTAATTTATGTTTAACTTTATCACAAATACTGAAACATAACAGAAAATAATTTGTCTTCAAATCGACCAGAATTTGGGTTTTATATCCAAAATGACGAAATTGTTTGTAAAATACAAATGATTTCTATATTGATACAGATGTGATAACTAATGAAATATATTATTTGACGATTTTATAAATCTTCAAAAAATAATTATTTGAGTATTAAATTAAGTCTTGTATTTGATTTGATTTCGTCACTTTTATATTACTTTTGATTTTACAAAACAATTGCCATTAATTGAAAGTCAAATGAGGCATAGAGTGCCAAATATCTCGTCATTGAAGACTATATATATATTTTAGTATAATTGAGGCACTGATTGCGAACCCGTTTTGTATCATATATTTTGTTTAATTAGTCGCTAACTATAACTACATTTTATTAATAAAACTCTATTCAAATTGGATTCGATTCGCACATACAATAGATCACAACTGGTTTTACTGCAATTGCTTGCAATAGTGAACAACACAATTGGTTTTACTGTAAATGGTTTTCTAATCAAACTGTCATTCAATGAACACTACATCAGTTAAGATCGTAATATATATTGAATGAAACTTCTTATTTATATTAATCTCTAATCAATAATTCACATCATTTTTTAAAATTCAAAAAATATAAATCCAGTGCTTCAATCATAACTAGTTTTACATAAATTCTTTAAATTTAATAAAATACTGAAATCATATGACGAAAGTATTCAAAACAAATTTTACAAAATATTTCCTAATTTTCAATCTATAAGTCTTAACTTAAACCCTAACTGTGTTTAAATATTTGTATACATAATTTAATTCATATAAACTTTGAACTCAGTTTATAACAATCAAAGCACTAATGTCTTCATCAATAATAAAGTCAAATATATCTCATAAAATAGATTTTTCAATGTATTGAATAGAAAATTAGATTTCATACGATTCTAATGAAAAGGACAGGCATTTTAGTCGATCACAATTGTTTTCAATCGTTTGCGTTTAGTTTGTGCTGAACTCGAACTCAAGTTTGGATTAAGTGTTGAATTTGTAGGCGAATTCATGGTATGATTAGTAGTATTATTGGATAAGTATTCGTCGACTATCTCACAGCTCTCGTCCCGCTCTCTCTTCGATGAAAGAGATGAAAGGGTCGACACGTTTGAAGCAATAGAAGGGTTTGAAGCGACCGAAGCAGATATGGGACACGCAAGCGCTGAGTTGTTGTTATTATCTAACAGTGGATTAATTGTGGAAAAGTTGGATGAAGTGATCGGTTCTTCGAAGAGATTATGACTTAGAAGTAGTTGTGCTTCCGTTGAATCACTAATAGTTGGCAGACCTGACAGATAGGCCGACACTTTGGACTCGGAGTAGTTGAACACCGAATCGCTGACATCACTCGTTTGCCGAAGACTTGTCGGTGTCGTCAATGAGGAGTGGGTTCGTTGTGATGTCGAAGAACTCGATGAACTGCTGTTGTGTTGACTGCGAGGGAGGGATAATGAGCTGCCGCTACTGCAACTACTACTGCGGGCATCGGTCGAACTCTTTTTGAGTTTACGTCTTTGAGCCAACGGTGCGGCCGAAACGTCCAACAGTCGGAAGCCTTCAAGTCTTGCCATATGAAAGGCATCGAAAGTGGCTTTAAGAGCCGTCTCAGTCGCTCTACTTGTGCTCGAGTGGCTACTCAACACGTCGGGTGTCATTAACGGAGTGTTCGAGTAACCGCCCTTCAGCTGACCGACAACCCAGGGGTGAGACAACACTTCATTCATAGTTATCCTCTGTTTGGGGTCGACTGTCAACAAGCCTTTGATCACATTCTTGGCCTGATTTGAGACGAGATCCCATTGCGGGGCAGAGAACGAGAACTCTCCCTCTCGTATGCGTTGCATAATAGCGGCGGCACTCGCCTCACGACTATACGACTGGAAGGGAACACTTCCGGACAACATTGTGAACAGAATCACTCCTAAGCTCCACATCTGTCCAACAAATTCAACACAAATTTGTTGAAATATTTATCTTTTTACATACAATAAGAATGGCTTACATCACAACTGGCATCATATCCCGGGTCTGTCTTTGAATTGAGCGCTTGTTTCAGGACTTCGGGCGCCGCATAGTTAAGCGTAAAACACGGAGTTTTCATCAATTGATTATCTGTGGGCTGATAGCGAGCAAACCCGAAGTCAACCACTTTTACTTCACTCGTCGGCGAGTCGTTTACGAAAAGGAGATTCTATTCATTCATACAATCAAATAGGGATTCAATAAATATTTCACAAATTATATGATATTCAATCAAGTCTTACCTCAGGTTTCAAGTCTCTGTGAACAATGCCTTTGGAATGCATGAACGCCACCGCAGAGGCCAGTCCTCTGAAGATATGTCCGGCTTCTACTTCAGTAAACCTATCCTTCTTGCGAATCCTGTCGAGCAGTTCTCCGCCGCCACACAACTCCATCACAATATATGTGTGCACTTCGTCCTGAAACACATCCATGAGGTTAACCACATTCGGGTGGCCCTGACATGTCCTCAGCAGTTGGATCTCTCGACTGGTGTCGATCTTTCTGCTCACTATTTTAACCGCGTATTCAATTCCGGTCTTTTTGTGGACACATTTACGACACACAGAAAAGCTTCCGTCGCCCAGAATTCCTGCGTTTATCTTCAAATCATAGTTTTGGAAAAATGAAGAGTTTTTGAATTTTGAGGACAAGAGTTGAGAGAAATCTTTGTCATCGGACTGAGTGGTGAGGAGATCTTTGCAGTTATTATTGTTATTAGGAAACAATGACTTCTTCGGATGAAAATGATTTCTGTCGACAAATATGTCATCGGATATGATATTCTCACTGAACAGAACAGACGGCGCGACATATGAATAGCCTTTAAATATCTTCTCATCGTTTGCAGGGATGACAGCGGGAGAGTCGGTCGGAATCATTGATGTGAACTCTTCGGCAAAGTTGCTGACATCCAGTTCTCCCATAATCTTTGGCACAAACGGCGCTTTAATACGTCTGTTCGCTAAGTCTTCCCAATTAATTGACTTAAAGAAGGGATGATTTTTAATTTCTAACGAGTCGTCCACTCCCCCGCCCAGCCGTTTGCGCGGGTCCTTCACTAGTGTGTGTCTAATCAAGTCCTGCACCTCATAGGACAGGTGCTCTGGGATTGGCGGATGACTCTTCAGTATTCTCCGGGAGATCTCCTGTTGAGTGTTCTTCTCTCCCTCTACAGTGAACGGAGAGGCGCCGGTCAACAGCTCGTACGTCAACACTCCTACACTCCACCAGTCAACTGTCCACACAATACATCACCATTTAATACATACGATTCGGGTTATATATTTCACGTGACACTTACCGCTAAAATCATGACCAGTAGAGCCGCCTCTTACAACTTCAGGCGCCATATATTCAATTGTTCCACAGAATGAATATGTCCTCAAATCCTGTATTTATTAATATTTATTATTAAAATGTAATTCAAATAATAATAATAATGTCTTTAAGTGTCTGACCGTTTCGTGCGGCAGAAACTCTTTGCTGAGACCAAAATCAGTCAAAACTATGTGTCCCTCAGAGTCGAGTAAAATGTTTTCTAGTTTAATGTCGCGGTAAATGATACCGAGCTATGGGTGAATGAAGGGATATAATTAGTAGCGAAGTGTGAGGGTGTGTGAAGTGGTGGCCATACTTTGTGAAGGTGCTCCAGTGCTAATATGATTTCACCGATATATATGCGCACCTCATCCTCGTTGAAGTGGTCGCGTTGGTACAGATGAGTGAACAGTTCGCCTCCACTTACATAATCTGTTGCCATAAACACAATGTCTTATAATTATAGCTCTATATACTTATTCTTAATTATATTAAATGTGTAGAATTATTGGACCCTTAAATATATGTCATTAAAAGCAATCAAAAGGTATTTTCAAATTTCGTTTTTATATACTTTTGATTTATAAAATTATATTCATTGAAATGTCAGTAATAAGGAAATTGAAAATTAATTGGGAATTTGGTTTTTGATAAAATTAATTACAGGAAAAATAGCTAAAAATATAGATATCTTTACAATTTAATAAAAAGTTTTCTATTTATAGCTATCGAGTATATACTGTACTTAACAAATATATCTATAATTATATGGAAATTAAATGGAAAAATGTTGTGAAACAAAAATAACTTATTCTTCTTTTTATTAAGTGTTTTCAAATAATTATTTGCAATGAATTAATGTTTAAATACCGAGAATTAGATGTAATTTAGTAGCCGTTTGAAAGGCATAATGAAGTGTCACTAGAAATGGCGATTGTCTTATGGATTCGAGAACCTGTCGTTCAGTCTTCGTGTGCTCTAATGTTTTTTGCTTCTGAACAATAGACGCCTTTTTGAGGACTTTCATTGCATATAGCTTTCCACTGTCATGTCCACCCACTTTCCTCACGAGGAATACCTGTTGCAATCATATTTAATTGTAGATCAAATCATATCTAATCAAACAATTGTCACATACCTTTCCATAGGCACCGGTGCCAAGCACTTTAAGCAGTTCAAAGTTAGACATATCAACTCTTCCCCTTCCGCTCAGATTAACTGCAAAGGAAATACATTTTTAATACAATTCACACAACAAATCAATTGTCACCAAAAGCTAACAAAACACAACTATTTGTGTGTTTAAACTAAAATACATGAACTCATTACACCTCAACTCATAATACACTAAATTCACATTATGCTAATAATACTCTATTTGTATGCAACAATCATAATGATTATAAGTATTACAGTATAATAATAATTGTATATAAATAATATTGAAATGAATATTTCATTTAACAGTATTAAGAATAGAGTCAAGAATTTTTAAGAATACCATAGTCTGCATATGATTGTGAAATATTTTTCAACTCAAACAAACAACTTGTTGTGAAAGAAATATATTTTTAATTTTGTTAAAAATATATGTTATTTTCACGAAATATAACCAAAAAGATAAATTTAATGAAACTCTAGAGGAAAACATATTTTTGTCGCTACAGAACCTCATAAGTTGTTTCAGAACTTGAATTATGGAAATTGAATTGAAAATATAATTTGCTCGTTATATCTCTCAATGCCTTCAAGTGTTTTTACATTTTCTGTCATTAATTGTTGTCATAAGAGATCTCTTTTGTCACCATTAAATGGAGCGAAAATGTCTTTGTTTTGGTCTCTCGAAAATGTTATGTATATATTCTCGAGAAAAACCAAAGTTTGAGACATACTCTACAATGTTAAGCAATGAAACAATTATTCTTTGCAATCCTTTGCAATACTCGCACACAAAATGGGATTTTATCATCAAATGTTTCATACTTTCATAATATGTCAGAAGATTTTATTACTGTATGAATTTTAATCGTACAGTATATTCACACCATTGAAATCGTGTATAAATAACAAGTCGTTCACACAATTAATTGCAAAACAATATATAAAAGATTGAATTGCAAACTTTGCAAATGAAAAGTCGCTTATTTTAATATGAAATATCATTTTCTCTTAAAGAGAAAAAAGACAATAACATTGAATTGTGTTTTGCCCTTACAAGTTACTATTGTAAAAAGTATACACGGTTCACATTATAGAGAATAGCATTGAAAGTTATGAAAATCAATATTTTCTATGAATTGTGATGCAATCTAATTGATGTTTCAATTAAAATCCGTCTAATTATTCAAATGTGGCCAAAGAATCGACATTTTATACCACATAGCTTTATGTGATAAATATGTTTTGCAAGTTAAATACGTTAATAATCGTTTAATCTACAATGAATTGTCAATTGTAATGTGATTATCGAGAATATTGTTATTTTGTTTATATTCCTTATATTTTGCCAAATATTTAAAACATTTGCATAAACCTACTATCATAAAACTTAAGTTGTAATGCATAAATATTATTGTATTTGATAATATATAAAAATATAAAGTAGAGTAGAGTACATAATATATGATAGTATATACTGTATAGTGAACTGTAGTCCACGGGACTGATGGCACAGGTAGTCGAACTTAATGCAGACAATGACCTGCAGTTGTGAGCACTAACTCAGTCAGTCATCTATATGTTAGCGCAGTATATGTTGAACAGTAGAGAAATGTTCAACTTTTGATAGATTTGAACTAAATATCAGCACTAATGACATTCCAGACATACACTACACTAATCTAATCTTATTTTAAGAATATATTCACTAAACCATAGTTTGAGACAATGGTCTGAAAATCTAAATAATTGACAAAAAGTGAACGCCACCATACATTAAGTTCATTAAGTCATATGAAAATATGAGATCATTTGGAAACTAATATAAAAAATAGCAAAATGATGAGCAAATCAATCCAAAGTATTTGTCCTATCGATCAACTGTTTTTAGAAGTGATACCATTATATGGAAACTGATAGCACTTATCAATGGACTCTATAATCATATAATCATTACAGTAATCAATACGGTATAGTGTATGACAACTATTACATCCATACGACCATCGATACCGATATTTTGTAATTAAAGACAATCATTGAAATCAAATGCAGTAATCGATTGAATTGAGAGATAGTGTTAGACATTGAGAAGTAATTAAAATTAGAAAATATGTTGATTTCATAATAATTGATACGAAAATGTAAGTGCATTACAAGGCATTGCATGCATTGAAAGGTTGGCTCAATGTTTGTCAGAGGAATGGGGTTATGAAATGCAGTGTCGGCCCAATTCGCAACAGGATATGGCCTCATATGAGTTACCAGTTTTGGTTGCACTGTATCTCTGCCTGCATTTGCAAACAACAACTCAACTCATATTTTCTCGATACCAACATAACCATCAAACTTTTTAATTCACTAAATTCACTCACTTTACAATCAAATACATAGTATTTCTATCATTATATACAACCATAACTTTATACTGTATTACAAGTGCATACAAAATGTCAGTTTCTAGAAATTCAAACTAAGTTTTGGTTTCAAGAAATTTAAGACTTTTGTCAATTTGATTGCTGGAGAGCCAGGAAGTGGTAGAAATCGGAGGTAAGCACTAAGTGGTTGTGTTGCACAAGAGTTGCTGCCCTACCAGCCCTACCACTGCCAACTCACTTACCCGGTCTAACCATCTTTGAAAGGCTTTCGATTGACTCCAAAAGTAGGACACAATCTAAGGACGGGTTTCGTATTTTCAGCACTAATTAAAACCACTTCTAATGCACTTAACGTGAAAAATATTTTCGGTCTTCTTTTGGCAGAGAATTGATTACAATTATATCCAACCAGTAATCACACAATCATTTTCTAATAGTTTGTAATCATTAAAACCAAATTTAATGAAAACAACAACACATTTGAAAGTTTGGTGTCATTTATAATAGATAGCAACAAATAACACAAATCTGTTTGGATTATTAAAACAAAATCACGAATAATAATANTCTATATTTTTAGCTATTTTTCCTGTAATTAATTTTATCAAAAACCAAATTCCCAATTAATTTTCAATTTCCTTATTACTGACATTTCAATGAATATAATTTTATAAATCAAAAGTATATAAAAACGAAATTTGAAAATACCTTTTGATTGCTTTGAATGACATATATTTAAGGGTCCAATAATTGTACACATTTAATATAATTAAGAATAAGTATATAGAGCTATAATTATAAGACATTGTGTTTATGTGAACAGATTATGTAAGTGGAGGCGAACTGTTCACTCATCTGTACCAACGCGACCACTTCAACGAGGATGAGGTGCGCATATATATCGGTGAAATCATATTAGCACTGGAACACCTTCACAAAGTATGGCCACCACTTCACACACCCTCACACTTCGCTACTAATTATATCCCTTCATTCACCCATAGCTCGGCATCATTTACCGCGACATTAAACTAGAAAACATTTTACTCGACTCTGAGGGACACATAGTTTTGACTGATTTTGGTCTCAGCAAAGAGTTTCTGCCGCACGAAACGGTCAGACAATTAAAGACATTATTATTATTTGAATTACATTTTAATAATAAATATTAATAAATACAGGATTTGAGGACATATTCATTCTGTGGAACAATTGAATATATGGCGCCTGAAGTGGTAAGAGGCGGCTCTACTGGTCATGATTTTAGCGGTAAGTGTCGCGTGAAATATATAACCCGAATCGTATGTATTAAATGGTGATGTATTGTGTGGACAGTTGACTGGTGGAGTGTAGGAGTGTTGACGTACGAGCTGTTGACCGGCGCCTCTCCGTTCACTGTAGAGGGA